GCCAGTGCAACTGCCTTTGTGGAGTGAAGCAGGACTTTGGGATTGTGTCAGGACTCGGTTGCTTGGCCGGTGCCGGGAGTGTGGCTGGGGCTTGGTGCTGTTGTGGAACTGTTCGGCAAGTAGAGTCGTCCCCTAGTCATAGAAGAAAAGGGCATGGCATCGTTTCCCGACCTCTTTCCTGGGTTGACCCTAGCAGTTTTCTACGATGATGATGTTCTATGGCATGAGCGATTAGTGCTTTGGCGCCTCACGGATCTGGAGTGGTACGTGCTGACGCCCGACCTTGACATGTATGCTGAGGACTTGTCATGCAGTGGAGGTGATGGACCGTCCAAATTCAAAGTGAAAGGGAAAGATTTTAGATACTGGTCTAGAGTAGGTGGTGGTTCTTACAGGTTTGCAAAGCCCATCAATGATGACCAGCTCCTTCGTACCTACATCAAGCAGGCTTTTCGCGAGGGTTCAAAGGAAGCCAGTTTTGATCCTGATTGGAGACCGGACCACGTCGTGGACACCAAGGGCGTCGTCCAGGACACGGATGTTTTCTTGGGTCCCTTGGTGCTGCACCGACTGACTGACAAAGGGCCCGCGAATCGCAGAGCCATGGGTGCTGGGGTGGTGGCCGGGGGAGATACCTCCGGGGATGATGATCGGGTGACCAGACCTATCGTTGAAGCTGACCCGTCTCAAGTTTGGCTGATCACCGAAAATATTGACCAGTACAAGATTGGGGACTATGCCCGAGTCGATCCCAGTCGTGACTTGATGCTTGGAGGCCACACAGGACTCATTCGGGTCGCCTCGGGCTGGGCAAAGGCAGAACTGATTTTGACCACGGATGCCGCAGAGTTCGTTCGTGCTCGTCGGGGTGATGCCGGCTCCCCGTCTCCTTCACCCCTTCAGGCAACCGAGATTCACGAGAACGAAGAGGGATCCAGTGACGCTCGAACTTTGATGGTTGACTACGACCACCAGGGCACCAGATTCAAAGAGTGGCGAGTGGTGGTTGCCGACAGCAAAGACTACCACTATGAGGACTGGCCCTGCGAGGGCCCATCGACGGTGCTTCATCTTCTGAAGCACATGATGAAGTTTGGTGGTGACCCTAAGCAATGGTTGGAACTGTGGGCACGTCAGAAATCGATTTCAGATCAAGACCGGGTGAAGCATGAGCTCAGGTGCCTCATGGACGTGCTCTATCTTGGGGGGCACCTTTGACCAGCTCAACATGCCGGTCCTGGCGAGCTTTGAGACTGTTGCCAGGAGAGTCCAATGCATAGTCGACGCCTATGCCGCCGGTGGATCTGGTGCTCCGGATTGGGGCAACGCAAAGCTGTTCACTGGATACACTGGGCCCGAGGACCTAGTGATGCCCCAGCTCAAGACATGGGCTGCAAGGCGGGGGAAGGAGGAAGTCGAGCTCTATCAAGCCCGCCATAAGATGAGAGAACTTCGTCGACCAGGTGGAGTTCAAGAAGAAGCAGCAGCAGCCGCAGCAGATGGCAACCTTCCTGCCGGAGGAGCCCCAAAACCCAAACGCCGTGGTGGGCGAGGGAAAGGGCTGCGAGCTCATGAACCGGATGGGGTCCAGCGGGGTGAGCCTGACCGCTGGATTGAACTATGATGATGATAGGCTCATGGGTCCGATGGGGCATACCTCTGCAAGTGGGCTCTTTCCTTTGCCTCGGCCAGATGCTCTGCCGAAGCTGAAGGGCTATGGTCGCCGCTCCCAACACCGAGCTGCGCGAAGAGTCCGAATTCGTGATGATTTGAGGGAGGCAATTGCCTCCTTGAATTGGATGCATGTGGGTGACTTCGATGCTCCACCTTCGGCCGCTCATCCTCTCCAACGAGAAGTTTTGTGCCGCCTAGAAGCTTTGGTGGAACGGGCGGATGATCTGGGTGACCATGGTCATTTGCCGTCACTGGAGGCAGCCTATGGTGAGCTGCTCCGAGGCAGAGATGGTTATGCCGAGCCATCGACGCCGGCCTCGTTAGCGCCCTACAACCTCGAGCTCGTGTCCCTTCCAACTGACCTTTGTGACGCTCCTCGTGCTGAGGAACTGTTGGAGGAGGCCGACCGTCGATACCTGCAGGGGCAAGAGCGTATGTTACGGGAAATCCCCAAGGAAGACAGTGAAGTCATCAAGCCGTATTGGGATCCTGCCCTCAGACATAACCCAGGTAGATATCGCAAGTTTATTCAGCGTTTGAATGACATCAAGTACCTTGATTTCACTTTGTCCCCTTCACAGCATGCTGGAGTGTTTTTTTGTTTGGAAAAGTGATGGGAAACGTATTCGCATGATCGTAGATGCAAGACCAGCCAACGCAGAGCTTGAAGAGCCACCCGGCATCTCTTTGCCAACCGCTGAGACCTTTGCAAAGATTGAGATGGAGACACACATGCATGATGGTGATGACCCGGAACTAGGCATCTATGCAGGTCTCTCAGATGTCCGTGATTGTTTTCATCGCATCAAGCAGCCTAGATGGCTGTCGAAGTACTTTTGCTTCCTTCCAATCGAGGCCAAGCATGTTGGGCTCACCGGAACTGTGCTGGAGGGCCACACTCTCAGCTCGAATGACTTGGTGTTCCCGATGCCGGGATCACTGTGTATGGGGTTCAGTTGGTCATTGTTCTTTGCTCAACGCATCAACGAGGTGGTCATGAGAAGAGTGAGCAGTTTATCATATTCTACTCTAATCCACGATCGAGGTGGGCCAGCGGTTTTTGGTGACCACCTCCCTGATGAATTAAAGCACTTTGTCTATGTGGACAACCTCGGGGTGATGTCAACCGACCGCCAGGCCGTCAGTGGAGCATTGGATGATCTGGTTGGCAAGTTCACCCAGGAGAAATTGCTTCTCCATCCAGGCGAGATACAGCATGAGTGCATCAAAGCGCTTGGTGTGCAACTGGATGGGCAGAACCTCTTCTCCTCACTTAGCCCCGACAGGTATCACCGCGTTCGTCAAGGGCTACGTTGTCTTCTAAGACGAGGTCGATGCAGTGGTCGGGTCCTTGAGATACTCATCGGTCATTGCACTTATTGTGGTTTGATGAATAGGGCTTTGCTTTCAGTTTTCCACAACGTTTACAAGTTCATCCATTCCCACCATGATCACCCAGCAACTCTTTGGAATAGCGTCAGGGCGGAGCTACGGGCATTCTGCGGCCTTATGCCGCTGATTGCTTCTGACTGGTGCCGGCCTTGGAATGAGTTGGTGCCAGTGTCCGACGCCAGTGAAGAGGGCTTTGGGGTTTGCGCAGCTGTCTGGACATCTTCTCAGGCAGCAGCAGTTGGCAGGGTTTCTGAACGAGACCGATTCAAGCGTGCCGGGAGCCACAGTGCCAGAGAGACGGCGCTGACTTCAGCGGGGTTTGTCAAAGACGAGGTGTCGGGCAAGTGGGCCGAAGGTATCCTCGATGATGAGGAGTACCTCAAGCTCAGTGGCTGGGACCTCAGAACTGACTTTCCAGAAGTCCCCGCTCACAAGCTCAGAGATGGAAGTTGGCAAACCGTTCGGCAAGGCAGGTGGAAGAAGCACGAGCACATCGTGCACTTGGAAGCCCGGGCCTTGGTGAAATCTTTTGAGTACTTGGTTGAAGACACCCATTCAAAGGACTGCAGACAACTCTTTTTAGTGGATTCAATGAGTGCGGCATTGGCATTCGATAGATGCAGAAGTCGCAACTTCAAGATGCTGAGACAGATCCGAAAGTTTTGCTCCTATGGGTTGGCTCGAAACATTGCGTTTTCAGTGCGGTGGGTAGCTTCGGAGCTCAACCCGGCAGATGAACCTAGTCGGTCTCCTCTGCATGTCGTGAAGCGGTCTGACTTTTTTTGGCCTCAGACCTCACGCGCTGCACCATGCCGACCTCAAGAAAACGGGTGCTGCAACCGCCAGAGGGGTTTCAAAGCCAAAAGAGAAGATGTGCAGTGCTGGAGAAAGGAAGTGCCATGCCAGTCATGAAGAAAGCCAGGACCTCCTCGCTCCAGCGGACAGACCCAACAGTTTCTCTGCTGAAGAAGCCGTCCTTCTTGCCACCCAGCCTAGAGTCTTTGGTCAAAGGCATGGACAAGCTCCCGCAACCGCGGAAGCAGATGGAGCCCGATCTCGAGAGTGCCGCCAGTTCCTCGAGTTCAGAACCTGCCAGGGATGTCAGAACCAAGGCACTGGCGAAGCGAAGTCGAGGCAGGCTTCGGAAGTATGTGCAAGAGGCCATGGAGGCAAAGTCCATGGGTCTCAGCTTGTTAGAAAAGAAAGCTATTGGGGACCGGAGCGCCAAGTACTACCAAGAGGAGTACAAGCAGTTGCTCATTTTTGCCAAGACGCGGAAGCTGATGATGACTCTCCCACGCGAACTGGATGCAACCCTTGTGGAGTACTTCAACGACCTTTTCATGAGGGGTCACCCAGCGCATCGGGGGGACAAAATCATCGCCACCGTGATGCACCACCAGTCCGAGTACAGCAAGCTGGGATCCAGTCGGCTGCCGCGAGCCTGGCGATGTCTCAAAGGCTGGAGGCGTTTAGCGCCAGGAACCTCGAGGAAAGCCTATCCCCTAGGCGTGTGGTGTGCCATCGCCTTGGAATTGAAGAGGCTGGGACATCTTCAGATGGCAGTCTTTACGCTGGTGGGCCTCTCTTCGTACAGCCGTCCTTCAGAACTGCTGAGATGCAGGGCCTTCAGCCTGGTGAAGCCGTCGCCAGGGATTACAGAGTTTTGGAGTCTTTTGCTGAATCCAGAAGAAAGGATGGACCGGTCGAAAGTCGGCGAGTTCGACGACAGCATTGCCCTCGACTCTCCTTGGATGAGGCCTTGGGCAGCAACCCTGCTGAAGCCGCTCGCCAGCCAGGGCGCCGACCTCCCCTTGTGGAACTTCAACTACTCCCACTACTTCAAGGTTTTCTCCCAGGTGACAGAGACTTTGGGGCTAGACATGACACCATATCAGATGAGGCACAGCGGGCCTTCAATAGATCGCTCAAGAAACCTGCGGTCTCTTCTCGAGGTCCAGAAAAGAGGAAGGTGGCGGTCGCACAAAAGTGTGGCCAGATACGAGAAGAGTGCTCGCCTGGCCGCAACCTTCCAGATGCTTCCACCACCTCTCCAACATCATTGCCTCCTCGCAGAAAGACAGCTCGGGGATGTGATGTTGGGCCGGGCCCCCCGCCTTGCGTCCACCTACAAAAGCAAAGGGCTGAAGGGTCAGTATGTCGCTGACCTTTTTGCTGGAAAAGGTGGAGTCGCTAAAGCTTGCAGACAACTGGGGTATAGAGCGAAAGAATGGGAACTCAGTCGTGGGCCACAGTTTGACCTTACAAAGCGTTCGGTGCTGCGACAACTTCGGCTTGACGTTCAACAGGGCTTGATTTTAGCAGCCATGTTAGCACCTCCGTGTAGCAGTTTTTTCAATTGCCAGAGATAGAACGGCAGTAATTCGAACCAGAGACCATCCTTGGGGGGCTACCTGATCACATGCTTAGCCCGACTGACCAAGTAAAAGTTCAGCTTGGCAACCAGTGCTGCAGGTCCGCGCTCAAAATCATCTCTTGGTTAGATCGACAAAAGATTCCATGGATCCTTGAGAACCCCTTCACATCCAAGTGTTGGTTTTTTGCCTCCTATTCGCAAGCTGATGCAATCCAACCATGTCCTCACTGTGCATGTTGACTTTTGTTTCTACGGCACTTTGTGGCGCAAGAGAACATGCC